GGGTGGGCCGCCTCCGAAGTCGGCCTCCCCCCTCAGAGGAGCCCAGGTCGGCCTGTGTGGAGCGGACACAAGAACATCTGGGTTTCTGAGCCTCCACTGGGGCCGGGGGGTTTGGAAGCCACCGACACCCCCCTCCCCGGAGCTCCCGTCCTGCGGATCTAGCAGATGATGATCATCCACAGGAGAGGATGTCAAATAAAAAGGGCCGATCTTGAAAATGCCCCAAGGTTCTTGTTTGGAAGGGGAAGTCAAGGCGGGCACTCCTTCTTTTCCCGGTGGAAATCGTAATCCAAAACAGAAAATGGGCCATGGGAAGACTCTCTGGGGAGGCACGAAGAAATGCTTTTAAATATCTGGGTGGGAATAAATAATTCCAACAGGTGCCCGAATAGGTTGGCTTTAGGGGGTCTTTGCTAAGGCAGAGATATTCCAAAACCAAGGTGTCCCCCCTACTGAGAAGCAAGGCGCATAGTGCGGTCTCGCCAGGCAACGTAAGCATCCGTTGTGGATTTGTTATAATAAAAATGGCTTTAATAGATGGTGTCTGTATTCATGGCATTTCGTAGAACATAGGGCGCTTAACAAGGATAACATCCCTGCCCAAAGAAGCTTTGAAAATATCTTGATGGGCTTCATCCAGAACTGGTTATAGGCAACGTACTGGGTTTTCAGCCAATCCAACAATGCTGGGCGTGCAAGGCATCTGACTGACCGTCCTCACAAAACTATTGTATGTATTCATGGTTGGTGGGGGTGCAGTGCTCCCTAAAAGCTAACTAGGCTTCATGTCAAGAGGGGCCACTGGATTTGACTGCTTCTGCTGTACCTTGTGGGTTGCAATTGAAGCCAAGGAGGGAAGTTGTGAGTGAAGGACAAGCCGAAAAGTCCCTGGCGGTGGTTTTGAGGCTGAGGATTGCACGGATAGTGGTGTCGGGCCAGGCAGCAGATGGATATGTGTGCAGAACGGGGATGAGGAGGAACCTGGAGTCTCCGAATTTAAGACTGGCATGTCAAAAGGTCATGGATCGATAATCAGTGGTGGAGAGGGCTGATGGGAAGCAGCGTGTCACACTTGTGTAAGAGTGCAGGGCACTGAGGGAGAGTAAACTTAATAATTGCTATGAATTGCTACAGGTGGAAAAATCTCTGCTTTTGTCTACCCTTAGATCCTTGAGAAAACAGTGGACACCCTTTTAAAAACTAATGTTTATCAATTGTCTGATTTTGTAAGCCATAGCGTGATCATACTTCAAACTGCTCATCTTCATGGTAGTAACCACTCATCACTAGTTTAAGCTTGGACAAGGTTTTTTTTACACCTTAAGGACGGAGGCCAGAGTCCTGCTTGGAGAAGGCTCATCAGTTGTTTTTTTTTTTTACACCTTAAGGACTGAGGCCAGAGTCCTGCTTGGAGAAGGCTCAGTCATGGAATGGCATGTTGCATGAACAGCGTTAGATTTTTCAGAACTTGTGCAAGGAGGTATCCAGTCCCTGCTTGCACAAGTGGAAGTTGTACTTGTCCCTAAAGGGGTGGACTCCACTTGTGGAACAGCAAGCTGGAGATTGCGTGGAACTCGGCCAGCAGCGTGTGAATGCTCCACTAGAGTGCAGCAGGATTCCGGCCTCACACATGTAGTCCGCCTGCATGTGGAACTATATTGTGCGATGTGCTGCAACTTTTTGTTCAGGCTGTGTAGGAGTGCTTCTGTTTTTATCATCTTTTTTTGTTGTGCGATTCTAACATGGCTTTGTCTTATATGTGGGAAAAGAATGAGAATGAAGAGAAGGGCGGTGTAAGAAATCCTTTTTTAAAAAAAATCAGTTGGGCAAATATACAGTATTAACTTCAGTGTCTTGCTCTATATGTCTCCCCTCTCAGGTTTTAGACAAAGATAGAATATGAAGCGGATTGACTCCATAAAGAAAGCCATGGCCTTGATTTGAGCAGGGATGTTAATGACAGGACCTTTTGGATGTGACTAATTCATGGGATCTCCAAAAATTAGAAGTCACTTGACATCACATAACTTCAGGGTCTGAGCAGGGCTGTTAATGACAGGACCTTTTGGAGGTGACTAATTCATGGGATCTCCAAAAATTAGAAGTCACTTGACATCACATAACTTGAAAAGGTTTCTGTCCAGCTAAGATGCCTTGATGGGGTCATTAATAGGTGGAAGCACATGGAAAAACCTATCTTGAATTTTTCTCATGCTAATACAGTTCAGGGCCTAGCTAGGTTTACATTAAACATTTGGAAAAGGGCACTGAAAGGTGTCATTTGTATTTTGAAGGAAGAGTTGATTGGGTGAGGGATAGAAGCAGCAACTGTCATTTCTGGTTTACGTTAATTATCTGCTCCCAGAAACAGCAAAGTTAGGGGTTCTATTCTAGGTAGGGGGAACCTATGTTCATCTTTCTGGCGGGGTATCCCTTTTTCCTTTCTCTCCCTCCACCCCACTTCTGCTGAAGGGATGAGGAAAGAGAAGAGACTGCTATAGGCACTTTGCTATATAATCACTTATCTTCTCCCCTTTGAAGAAATGCACAGGTGCCTCATGCATTACTTAACAGTAATGCAATTATGACGCTGACAGAATCACTGTTCTCTGATATGCAACCTGCTACATGCCTTACATTTTCCTGTTAACACCTGGCTGGTATGGTAGCTTTACAATTTACAGGCAGTCTGTTATGTGGTAGTTTCTGTAAAACACTGTTGGAAGACGTTTCTGTGCATCTAATTTAAACTCTGTTTTAGTTGCATGTCATCACTTCTTGTAACAGTATTACTAAGCCGTGCATCTAATTTAAACTCTGTTTGTTTTAGTTGCATATCATCACTTCTTGTAACAGTATTACTAAGCAGTTCATTCAGAATAATCAGCTAGTATGTGTCTAAATTTAATCTGCTTCTATTTAAAATCTCAAATGGGGGGATTCTCAGGGTTAAAGCATTTAATGGCCGTACATTGGACTGGAAGTAGATGGGCATTCTCCATTCCTTCATACATTGATCTACCCAACTATCTTGCCAATAAATATACTAAAATGATATAGTATTTCATACATTATTAATCCTCCTTCCCTCAGCCTTCTGAGAGCGATGGTAAATGTGTAACTTCCCTGCCCATTAATCTTGTGAAATACTGCTAGGTAGAAAGACATGCAATAATCAAGACAACATATAACTTACTTATATTCCAAGTGTAAGCTGTCTCTCCCTCTTCTGCACTTTGGCTTTGTGTGAGCTTGTGAGAACGTGGTGTAAAATCTGTGTTGTCTCACTAAACTCTGATGTCTTTTTTTCTCCCCTTTCTGCTTGCCTGCTGCTTTCATTCTATAGTATTGGTATTTGCCATTCATTTCACCTTCTGCATCTATGCATCTCATGGTAGGTGATAGGTTTCTTAATCTGAGACTGGACATATCTACTGTATAAAATAAACTTTAATCAAATCTTCAGCGGAACATATTTGGCTTATACATAGACTTTAAAAAATCTTGATAGGATTTAGTTTTTAATAGGGAGAAGATTTGCGTAACTACAGTTCTGATAACTGATGAATTTAAAAAAGTGTGTATATCCCTTCACATTTGAGGAATGTGAGACGGATGAAGCAGTTTGTTCTTTTGTTTGTTTTATTAACGCTACATGTATTTCTACTGCATGCCTGTCCTAACATTAAGAAGGCTTTGGCTTTGCTCTCCCTTTGAACCTTTGAGCAGAACATAAAGTTGAATGATGAAGGTGTTAAAACTGCCGTTGATGAGCAGTTAGAGACGGTCAAAAATTTCCCATGGGTAGGTCTTTCCATCTCTAGAACAAAGAGTAAGGCTTTGCAAAATCCAGCACCTTCCCATTGCAGGTAAAATGAATTGAGAATTTTGCTCCAAATATTTTGAAGTTAAAAGCATTGGGTGCAGTGTATATTCTTGAGGTTGACCACACGTGGTCATTTTAATTGTTGGAGAGGGCAGAAATGTTTGGTTTAATTTGTTGAGATGTGTGCCAGCTTTTTAGTTGTTTTTAGGAAGGATATTGTATGGGAGACCATCCTTTTTGTTGTCAGTTAAATCCAGTCTATAGTGCCAGCTATAAACATGTGTTACAGTTTATCCAGTAGATTAATGAAGCTTGAGCAAGTTTTATTTCAACTTTCAACCAGGCCCACTATTGACATCAGTGCTGTAGGAGTTATTGTTATATTAACTTTACTAGCAATTAGATACCATCCTGATAGCATCAGGATCATTAGATAATTATCCTGTGTCAGCTCTCCTGAAGCAGGAGCAGAAACCGTGATGAAAATTAAGGGAAGCAGAGGTTCCCTGTTCGTAATCTCTGGAGATCACATTTCCTCCCTGTGTCCGTCGAACGAGACCAGCAGACAGCCTGGTTTTAGTGTCATTTCCTTCCCAACTGACAATTTCCTTTTCAAGTATGAACTGCAAGGCATCTGCAGGAGTCAGTGCAACATTCTATGAAGCTGAAGCTTTCTTGCCCATTTCATGTCTCTTTCATGCCATCCATGCCAACCGAACTAGTTGTGGTAAATGTTTGCAGACTTTCCTGTTGACCCATGCTAAATATGTTTTGAATTTTTCTAGAGCTCGGAGCTCTTCACTTTGACCTATGGAGCTCTGGTGACTCAGCTGTGTAAAGACTATGAGAATGATGAAGATGTCAACAAACAGCTGGACAAAATGTAAGTAAGAGATGTGGGGGCAGAATGAAACCTCATCCAAATGTCACTATACCTGGGAATGATGGGCACTCACTTGCAGATGATTCTTATTTCTCTGAATTCACTGGTGTTGTGTAAAGTGGAAAGGAGGGAGGGAATAGCTTTCTCCCCTGCTGTTTCTAACCCCTAGAATGTTGTTCTCAACTCAGACCTTCCTTGCGCTGTTACAATTTCATAGTATACTGATGTTTGGCTCCTTTGACAGGGGCTACAACATTGGTGTTCGACTGGTTGAAGACTTCCTGGCCCGATCCAACGTAGGGAGGTGCCATGACTTTCGAGAAACTGCAGATGTCATTGCAAAGGTGATGATCATTTGATTAATTTCCTGTTTATACTGTGCCCCTCCTCCCTTTCCACTAGCAGGGATATTCCGTTAATGACATAATTTATCTGTTGCACAAGAAGACATTTCAAATCTGTATTAAATGTAGTGTGCTGTGTGCACAGCTATCTGGAGTAAGTATATAAAGGTCTGGAAAAATCAATGGGAAAATGTGAGATGCGATCTTTTCCCTGTTCCCCCTCCCCCCGCCGCCTCCCCCAAGGTTCATCCTCCCCAATTGGACTGTGATTTTGGAGTTGTGAAATGTCTTCTTTTAGAGTGGTGAATAAAATATTTGATAGGCCATTCCTATGTAGCAAGCTGGTTTTTAAAGAAAAGTAGGACTTAATGTTGGTCTGTGACTTTTCTGCTGCCAGATACAGAGCCTCCTCAGGTGTTTGGCCCAGGAAAACAGGCAAGGATTATGCAAAGTAAAGCTGTCCTCCTTCATGGTGACTATACAGCTTTTGACTGCTGTTGCTGCTTGACCTGCTTCAGAAACCTCTGGTGTTTTGTTTTTTGTTTTATTGCAGCATGTGAAAAACTGGCCTGTGCTTCAAAATAAATCTAACCAGGAAAACAGTGATATTTGAAAGGGGAAAAAGTTTGTTTCAATCCAAGCAAATCCTTGGGGTTTTTTTAGAAGTCTATGAAGATAGTACAATACAAGCAAAAGGATGGGCCAAAGTGAAATAACTCAGGCTATATTAGGCGAAATTTCATACAGCCAAATTAATATTCAGTATGTCTTGGATTTCTCTTGTCCACCTTTCCCCAATCAAAAAGTAATGTATTTTTCTGTCTCTACTCTCTACTTCAGGAGATTTTTAAGTTTACGGTTCTTTTATTTACCTTGAATGTGAATAAAGTTATACACTTCACGTACCCAAAGTAAAAACAGTGACTTTAGATTTGTAAAATGTGTTTGTGTTTGTAATAAAAGCAATAAATGCTAAATATTTCTTAAAATGGAATTTTTAAAACTTATACAATTTTATTTATTCTTTTCACACAAATTGTGGTTCTGTGAAATAAATCTTACTGACCTTGAAATTTCTGGAATTTTGTAGTCTGCAAAAACATGTATAACATGCCAATATTATCTTAATAATAATTAGCTGAAAACTGAGAAGTGTGACAATATAAAATGGAGTTGAGAATAAGCAACTCAACTTCTATTTAGGTTACAATCTTGAATGTTACAGGGGTGTTTTTAAGGGGAGAAGACTATCCATTTAAAACCAGTTAACAGCATCTTAATTCTTGAGATCAGTCTTGCATTGCCTGATCAGTGTCTTGAAAGAGTTTGCTTTAAGTAGATTAAATCAATGAATTGATGCAGAGATCATTCCCCACACCCACCGTTGCTCAGGGATCAACAAAAGGCACTCAATATTGTATTGTGTCAGCCTCGCTTGCATAATATATTTGTCTCGCTTGGCAGGTGGCGTTTAAAATGTACTTGGGCATCACACCAAGCATCACCAACTGGAGTCCAGCCGGTGATGAATTCTCCCTTATCCTGGAAAACAACCCACTGGTGGACTTTGTGGAACTCCCTGACAACCATTCCGCTCTTATTTATTCGAACCTCTTGTGTGGGGTTCTACGGGGAGCCCTGGAAATGGTGAGCTGCAAATGCTTTTCCTCTTCTGGGAGGGCGGCCAAACAGATGAAACTTCAGGCAGTTCCTGTAGACCATCTAGACTCAATGTGAATTCATTTCTGTACATCGACTCGTTGAAAATAATTTGGGATAGTAGTTAGCAATGGCTGGGAGCTGGATGATGAGGAAATTCAAGTTCATAGCCCTAATCCAGTTTGAGCAGGTTCTGTAGGTCTGGCTTTGGTTTTCTATGAGGATAAATAAGATGCATGCCACTTGTCTCGTTAAGCAAACACCTTAATTTAAACAGAAGCTTTCAGGTATAAACATTCTCGTTTTTGGTCCCCTTTTTGAGAACTTCTGGGGGCTTCTGGAGGCAGTCCTCTAAGGTACGCTAATCAATTGAAAAGCTTTTAGTGCTGCTTTAGTTTTGTAGCATCCATTAAACGTTTGCTCAGTGTATTCGAATTCTTATTTCCAAGCCTTCCTACTTAATTTGTTTTCTTTGCTTTGCTGAAATCTTTCATTCTGCAGCTGTTAGATTGCCCTATACAGTACTGAGAACCGGAGTAGTGTAATCGGGAGTGTCAGACTATCATGGGAATATTCAGATCTCAGTCGGGCTATCAAGCTCATTGTTGATTACCTTTGCCCAGTCACCCCTTTGCAACTTAGCCTACCTCATTGGGTTTTTAAGTTGGCAAACAGGGAAATAAATAAGCATATCCATCTCCTTAAAGAAAAAAAGGGAGACGTAAGCCTAATAAATCATTAAATGAAATTCTCTTATGTTAAACATGTAGAATATGTACGGACTCTGATGTGAAAATGACTGGCTTTATGAGTGAAATTTGTAGCCTTGGGCAGCTGCTAAATTTCTGTTGCTTGGAAGCAGAAGAAGAATGGTAAGAAGCACAGTTATTACTGTCTATACTAAAGCTTTTAGCCCAGAGGCTTTGCCTGTGCTTTGTTGTTTTCCTTAACAGAAGGTAAAAGCACTATGCTGGGATTATAAGAATCCCAGAGAGGGGCTTTGTTGCTGTTTAGGTAAGGTGATGGGGAAATGATTTTTCACTGAGTCAGATTTTGTCAAATTGACCAGGGTTGGGAGGACTCGCTGTTTTTTTATCCTTGCTATAACACTAAGTGAGTAGTTTTTAATACTGTTCGTGATAGCCTTAGAAATAAGGGCATCTCTTTTCCACATCACAGGTTCAGATGGCGGTGGATGTCAAATTTGTTCAGGACACCTTGAAAGGGGATGGAGTTACAGAAATCAGGATGAAATTTATCAAGCGGATTGAAGACAACCTTCCCGTTGGAGAGGAGTGAATCTGAGAGCAGGTGTCCCCTGCTGAACTGGAGAAGATGATCTTAGAGTTGCCACCAGGAGTTCATGGGCATCGCCGTTCCCTCTCAACATTCAGATGCTCTGATTGTTTAACTTGATGACCTGCTTTATTTCCTTAGGGAGCAACTTTGAATTCTCCTGCGTTATTTCCACAGATTTGTACTGAAGAACTTTGTAAGGTGTAGGACACTTTTCATACTCATCAGAGGCACATGCACCCATTTCCAGTTTCCATCGTTGGCTTCACGCAAATCTACAGGATATTAAGACCTTGCAGTTTTGAAATGTGATACCAGATTTGGATGCCAGCTAGGGACGTCACTCTTATCTTCCTGCACATAAAAAACATCAGCATTTCTCTCTGTCCTTTCCTACTCTTAGGAATGGCAGCCTGAATCCGTATCTGTATATATCTGTGGGAAGTAGGCAGCCATTTCCTCGCGACACAGGACACAGCATATAATTTGAAAGTAATTGTGGGTACTGGTGGAAGGGGCTCTGTCCTACTGTCTTATTCCTGTTATGAGAAAAAAACATCCTATTTTTACTTAAGCTATCATATGGCCAGGCTACTCAGAGGCAAAATAATAGCCCTGCCCATTAAATTCATGGCAATATTCTTAGTTTAAATTATTTCTATCTACCAGCCTATTTTACTGTCTCATAATGACAAGAAATATTGTGAGAAATGCTTATTAAGTGCTCGGCCACCTCATGTTCCAATCCCAAACCTTCAGTGAAAATTCAACATCCATGTTTCTGATTAATTTATTTTTACTGCTGAAGGAAGGATCCGGTGTCCCAAAGGCCATTTTTATATTCTTCCTTCTCTGATATTTCAACTGTTGCACTAAATAATAGCTGACAGGTGAGTGGGTATTAGGTGTATATAATTTAAACATTTTTGTTGTATAATGGGTCATTTCCATGTGTTCCATTTGTAAGGCTTTTGAAGGCAACATTTTGAGATATTAAAAAAAATTGAAGAAACATAACTTCGTTTTATTGTACAGGTTCAGAAATGTGCTAGGAGCACTGAAGTACATGGTATCCCACCCTTCTTCCTGGTTTATTGTCTTCCACCATGTGCCCTTAAGTTTTCGCTTGACAATCTTGTGCAGTATTTTCAGCTGGAAAATAGTGACAATTAAAATCAGCCAGGGAAGGTGTTTGTGCTATGAAGACTTGGCTCTATATGTCCCCAATCCTAATCTCATAATCCAACAGTCTGTCATCATGTGACATTTACATATGGAGCAGGGGGAATATTTGTGAAATTTGGAATTTGTCATAAAAAGGGTATTTCCAGAGCCTAGGAGGGTTATCATTTGTGGGCTATAATTCCCAAAATAGTCCAGGAAGCATGACCAAGCTTTTGGAAGTCCTCATGCAAAAAAGGCAATTTTCCCAGGCTCTGTTTCTATCTGAACGTAATTCATAGAAGGTAGATGAAGACATGACTCGCCATCCACTGTTTGGGAAAGCTGTTAACTCTCCAGAAGAACATATTCTCTGCATTCATATCACTCCCAGTTGAAACCTGCTATCTTTGACATGGGCTGGGGGAAACTCCCTGTCTGATATCCTAGAGATACTCTCTCTAGACTGTAGTGAGTTGGTTATCTTAGGACGGCAAGGAAACTCCTGTGTGGATTCCTATGGTTGGTTGACTCACTTGCCTTGAAGGCCTTGAAAAGTTTTTCTTGATACAGGTTTGGCTTTAGAGAGGCTCACTCCCAACCAAATGTCGTCCATGGTTCTGTCTGCTTCCCAGTCCATGTGTTTGGAAAGTATTGGCAAATGAAGGGTGTCTCTCTGCCACAAGAAGCGTCAGGTGGTTGCTTTGAGCAGTGGTTTGTTCAGCAAGAGAGTTGGGGGCCAGGAATTGGGCACATCTGGCTAATGGAGCACAACCCTAGAGGAACAGGAAGCTGCCGAGGCATATGAATCAGACATCTTTGGTCATCTTCGAAGGCTGTAACGTCTGGCGTAGCCCATAGATGCTTCACGTCAAAAGCCCACATCGAGTGGGTTGGTTGAAATAGCACCTCGGCTGCCTATGATCCTGTTTCACCGCTAATCACTGCTGTATATATATATTAATTACATTTACATATACATAAGTAAATGTAATATATATGGCACAGAGCTGTGATTAGCGGGGAAACAGCCAAGGTGATATTTCAACCAACCCACTTGATGTGGGCTTTTGGCAAAGTTATATATTTGCCAAAGCCAGATATTTGCCAAAGCCAGATCTGAAAGTGAAATTGAATTCACTCCTCCAATTCCCTGTCTCAGTAATTAACATAAAACCAAAATTGGGGGCGTGTTTCTAATTTGGATGATTTCTTTTTCAAGCTTGAAAACTTCTAACTTTTTTGTTTGGCTCAGTTACATAGCCCCTTTTGTATAGTTTCAAAGTGTTTTTAAATTATTATTTCACATCTAGGGATTTAAATTTTGGCTTGGTTGCTTTCAAGCAACAAATGCGACCTCTGTTAGCGCCTTGTCCTTTCAAAAGAAAAATGGAAAGGGAGAATAGCAGAATGTTTTTGTACTTCCATTGCTGGCGTTGCTTGATGGTTTGTAATATGGCCTGCTTGCTTTATAAACGCAGCCCCTTCATTTGTTGTCACGTGTCGTCAATTCACTTCTGACTTAAATGTCAATTTGGTGGCCTCTGAAGCATCTCGTCATTCACCCCCCTGTTCAGGGTTTGCAAGCTCAATGCTGTGGGTTGCTTTAATGAATCAACCCATCTGACATTTGGCTTTTCTCTCTTCCTGCATAGAGAGGTAATGCGTATATAGATTTTTGAGGAATCCTATAAGTATAAGGGATGTTTCCTGAATGGACGTAGATGAACACCTGAGCTTCTAAATGCATCCCGTTTATATATATTAGGGACAATCAACTGGAGAACTGTAGAGAGAGAAATATGAATTTTCTAGCTTATAGACAAGGAGATGCTATGAAAGGGGCTGGCTTATTAAAGTGTGTCTGCTTTCAAAGGATGCTGCTTTAATAGTGCTACCAGGGAGACTGCTGTGTTTTACTGATGACACAAGGGGGTGCCATTGGAACATGCGTCGGTGCCGCAAGATGATGCTAGTTCAGGAACCTACAGCTGGTGTTTCTGTTGGAATTCCCTCTGCATAACCAGATTTTCAAAATAGCCTGGTTACTGAGAAATATTTGGGACAGCAAGTTGAAAAACAAGCATTCCAGAAAGTCTATCTTACAAGACAGAAGACCACAGACTAGCCAGCTGCATTTCAAGCAAAAAAAAAAAATCCAATTAACATAAATTTTTGTGGATGACTGGATTCAGCTGAGCAATCTTGTACTGAGCTCCTTGAGAATAAATTCTATTAAAATCAGGCAGGTGTGCTTGAATTTAACCGGCTGAAGATGGAGATATAAGAACCACTATCTTAATAGCTGAAAATCTTATAGAACAGACTTTGTTCCCCCAGAAAAATATTTTTGCTATTCACTCTTAACTGCTTTTGCTCAAACGGATGTATAAGGTTTTATGGGACAATACAAAAACCTGCCAAACCTATTTTGTCTGAATCAAGAGACTATGATTATATGGACCACAAGGAATTATCTTGCCTTCAGTTTCCCTGAAAAACGTGTTGTGTCTCTCCAGCATAGCAAGAATGTTAACATCTTGAATGCCACTAATTTTATTGATTTGAATTGTTGTTTTAATTGTTTATATGTTGTTTTTCATGTTTTTACTGTAAGCCGCCCAGAGTAGAGGTAATCTAGACGGGCGGGATACAAATCTAATAAATAATTAAATAAATAAGATGAAACTAAGTGTAGTAGGGGCATCTTGCATTCCATGGAGCTTAGAATATTTACTGTTAGGAATAATCTTGTACTGCTCATCTTGTACAGTATTGGTTTCTGTAATGTAATTAAGAGCCTAATCATTTTTTAATCTGAATAAAAAAAAATCTAATTGCTTTCTTCTCTGGAACATGTTACAAAATTACTGTGCAAGTGAAAGTATATTCTCAAAGAAAATATAATTACGAGCCAGAATCCTGTTGGAGATTTATGTGCACAAAAGTGAAACTGAGTAAGATGTGACCAATTGCTAAATAACTTGCTGATTGCAATTCTGTTTGTGTGATGGACACACAACTAGAATTGCAGCTACCATGTCTTTAACTAGCAGCAATTCACTGCTGCGGCTTCAGCTGTTTCGCTTCCGTGTGTTGGAGTTTTTACAACCTCTCCTGCTACCTCTAGTAGGTGTTGCTGCTGAAGGACCTTTCTGGGCTGGAGTGACTGTCAATCTATTCAGCACTAACTAATAATTCCTTCCCACCTCAGAATTCAAAGCGAGCCCCATCTCTCTGCTGAGTGTTCCCTTTCGTTCTCTTTATTCTGTTGAAAGCAGTTATGTTTATTAGTTTGCTGTTGATCTGTTCAAAACTGTAAGTAATGAAGCGTTTTTATTCTTTCTCTTACCAATATCCCATAGTTGAATTATTGAGACATTAAGTGTCAGTTAATGAGAAAAGGTTGAACTACATATCTGGGCAACTTGTAACTATTCTCCTCTTTGAGTCTCTGGACTTCTACTGTGTAGCACAAGGAACTTTACAAGAAATTCAAAACTGCAACTGTCTGTGCATACATTGCCAAATGGATTCCAGCCATGGAGGTATAGAACTTGTTTTTTCTTCGACATAAATCAAGACTGACTTACTGAAAGCATGATCAGGGTGCCTTCTCTTGCAGTCTTCTCCAACCAGGTGTTCTCCAAATACATTGGGACTCCAGCTCCCATTATCCCCAGCTAGCTGTAGTCCCAACACATTTCAGTGGCGGCAGGTTAAGGCAGGCTGCACTCTATGACTGGCTTCCTGCAGCAGCCGTCTCCTGGGCTCTTTGGCCGGATGCGGCTTCTCCTTGCCAAACCAAGGTTCAGATGGAATCAGAGCCGCCTGCTACCTGCGTTGCAGAAGCCCCTCCAAGGCCCTCCAGCAAATCCACTTCATCACGCTTGCAGGATGGAGCAATAAAAGTCATTTCACCGTTTGGCTCGGCTCCGGAGCCACCTCCTAAATCACCAGCCCTGCTTCCTGCCGGCTGGACCGCTTTGCTTGGCTTGGAGGCCTTCCCACCCTCCTTATCAGAGCAGACAACCCGTGAGAGCTCCTGTTCAATTTTTTGGATGGAGAAAGCCGTGTGGATGCCAGCAGCCACCTCCCCGGGCCTTGTACCTTTTTGCAGCTGCTCTGGCCCTTTCTGGATCGGCGTCTGTGACATTTGGGTTTCCAAGAGACGGTAACCACTCGCTACTGCCCTCGAAATGGTTCCCGTAGTCTTAAATCTCCTGCCGTCTCTGTCTGTTGTCCAGAGCCTCGACTGGAGCTGAGGCCAGAGGATGGGCGAGACCATGGGTGCGGACTTAGAAGGGGCTATGGCAGGGGTGGGCAATTAATTTCTATGGGGGGGCACATGAAAAATCTGAACTATGTTCGGGGGCTGAACCAACTTTACTTAAAAATAAAATGAAACAGTGATGTTATGATAGTGTTTATTTTAAACTTGTTAATCTTCACAAATACTAAATAGTTTTTTTTTTTTTGCGGTATGTTAAAGATAAGCAACTGATCAACTTTAGACAAAAAGCTATAAATGGTTTTGATGTTCAAAACTGTCTGTGGGCCGGACAGGAGCGGCTTGTGAGCCATATGTGGCTCTCAG